CTCAGGTACCATGCTATACCTCTTGTAACAAGCTTGAGCCTGTCCCTTATAATGCAAGAAAATAAGAAATGAGCTATTTAAGAAAGCCTAATACCTGGGCCTAATGAGAAAGGGAACTTGTTTACCACTTTATTATTATTATTATAATCATATTATATATGATTATTATTATCATATATTATTATCATGGTTGATTAACTTCTTCTGGAGACTTCAGATCTGCCATCATTCTTATCAGTTTTGATGTCCACACCAATGACCCTTTCATCATCACAGCTCTTTGATCTCATCAAATCCATGACCTTCCTTTCTCTGCAGCTTCTGCCTCCCGCCTGTGTAGTCTTGCTGATTAGTAACTTGCATCACAGACAACTACATCCATCTTTGAGACTTTAAACTAATTTACCACTTTATCATCACTGTCTTTCTGGCTTTTTCACTCCTTCAGTGCCACTGAGCGTAGAATCTCAGATGTCACTTTCAGTACTCTTAATTCTGCTACTTTCTCCAAGGCCCTCAGCCATATTTGGCCATTAGAGAGCATGAATAGTGGTCAGTGGAGGTGGATTCTGTTTATCAAGCGTGATTCTGTTTTCAGGCATGGAAGTTCATAGAAATGTTCTTTGCTGTATCCTGTTTTAAGTTTTTTGGCCACCCATGAGAAGGAAAATAGAAATCAGGTTTTAAAAATGATCAACCATGCATTTTTTAATTCCTTTTCCCTTTCCCTTTTATTATGCCTTTATTATGCTAGTGAGCCACATTCAATATGAAAAGAATAGAAAATACAGATAAGCAAAAAGCAACTTGTTTACCACTTTATTATTATTATTATCACTAGATTATACTCATTTATTATTATTATTATCACTAGAGTCTCATGTCAATTTGGAAAATTTCTAGTTGTGCCCTAATGTCACCTCAAGCCCCTGGGACTAATGGATTCTGTGAATGGTTTAAGTGATTTGGTAAATAAAAGCCAGATTTGGGGGACCCAAGAAAATGCTGAGTAAAGAGCAACATTCTCAGAGAAATCAGCTGTAGTGGTGAGTTGGAGGCCAGGTGAGTAGTTGTGAGGCAGCGAGCTGAAAACGTGATTCGCAAATCATTCCATGGATAATGAAAGGCCATGAACCTTCATCACTTTTCACTCTAGATCCATGAAATTGAATGAACAGCCCTTCTAATAGAAACTTAATGTACTTTTCTCTAAATCAGATTTTGCTCACCTGCCTGTGTCTGTATCACCCCCCCTTGCCCTGCCTCTTCCTCATAGCTATATGCCCCAGCAGCCAAGTGGCCGAAGGGACCTGACCTTGGCCCCAGGGGATTGAGCCAGGTGTGGCAGGGAGCTTAGGCAAAAATGGCCCGCCCGAGGGCTTCCCTGGTGGCTCAGTGGTTGAGAGTCCGCCTGCCGATGCAGGGGACACGGGTTCGTGCCCCGGTCCGGGGAGATCCCACATGACGCGGAGTGACTGGGCCCGTGAGCCATGGCCGCTGAGCCTGTGCGTCCGGAGTCTGTGCTCCGCAGCGGGAGAGGCCACAGCGGTGAGACAGGCCCGCGTACCACAAAAAAAAAAAAGGCCCCTCCTAGAGAATGCTGAGCATTAGGTTGTGTTAAGCAAACAAATTAATTAATTAAAATGCCCCCTCCAATAACAACATGACTTACTGGTAAATAAGCCTTGAGGAGTAGTTTAAATTTTTTAATAGTTTTTTTGTTTCTTTGTTTTTGAGAGTAGTGTTGGGGACAATATGGCAGCCAAGGGGCAATTAGCCTTATTCAACACACAATGAAATTTCCGCTAAATTCTACTTTTACAACCCTCTTTTTCCCCTAGGCAACCCCCCCAGCTCACCAAAACACCATCCTGCACATCCGCTCTCCTCAATGGTCTCTTTGTCCACTTTCCTCTCTAACTCATTTATATAGATTTAAAAATAAATTAATTTTTTCCCATACTTCAAACAACATTACAAAGATTTGGTTCCCATATAAGCATGTATCATTCTTTCTTAGAGAGGAAAAGAGGACCAAAGGAGCAGAAAACCTCTCCTTTGATAATTTTTCACTGTTACTTAGCCTTTTCCCCTTTTGACTTAAAACTAGCTTGAATTTTTTCCGCTACTTACAATCCAAGCTTTTGATTCAGCTTCCATTGGCTGGGTCTACAGAGTCAAACTCTAGCAGAGAGCTTGATTGTTAACTCATGACTTTGAACCCCTGAGTGATGCCGCAGCTCACAGAATTTTTTAAAGCAATGACTGCACATCCCTAATTTATTGAAAATGACTGAGATATTATTGGATACCAGAGAATTATTTTCCCTAAGACATTTAGTGTATTTTGTAAGAAATAGCAAGATATAAATGACATTATCCACCACCCACCTATTTTAAGGCATCTAAGTAGCAGCTTAGACCCGGAAGTACAGTCTTGGATTGCAAGGACATGCAAACAAGTGGTGTTAACTGACATAAAATGCTGATGTCAAGGGGTGGTGGTGTGATGAATTGGAAGATTGGGATTGACATATTTACACTAATATGTCTAAAATGGATAACTAATAAGAGCTTGCTGTATAAAAAAATAAATAAAATAAAATTCAAAAAAAACCCCCAAAACAAAAAGCTCTGTAGCTTGAGTTAGAGTGTATTAAATCTCTGGAAAATAGTATATGTATATAATATAAATATATGTTTATATAATATATTAAATAAATTATATATAGATTAGGTAATTTATATATATGCATATGTATACACATATGAACACATATGCTAAAAGTAACTTGGCAGTACAAAAGATGCTAGATGTATGAAGAAAATATGAAGAATATTCTTATAGAAAATATTTATTTGAATTTAATGTCCTGGCCTAAATTCTACCCAGAGTAGAGAGTTTAGAGGGAAAAAATTCAAGATTTTAATCACCTTATTAACATCTTTAAAGACCAACAGTTATTTAACACTTCAGATATGAAGACCCTTCCCTCCCTTGGCTCAGTTAGTTGGTTAATTCTTTAGTCATTTACAAGATACAAAATAGGCCAAACGTAGGTGGCTACTGATGGGCTTACCCAGCTCAAGGTGAAACTGAAGCACCAATTCAGAAACTCTTGTCAGCCTCTGCTTGGCTTCTGACTTGCCCTTGGTGCCCTCATCTATGAGGAGTAGATTCCTGTGTCGCTCAGCCGAAACTGACATCTGCAGACTCCAGTCATATCACTGGTCAATTGGAGGGAAAAAACCTGAGGACAAAATGGTTCCGTAGGAACATGTTTGCTCAGTGTCATAACCAAAAATCTTCTCTGACATATTTCCATGTTTTTGACCTATTTCTGGCATTGGGATCTCTGGCCCTCATCAGATTTCATTTTGGCAATTGTCTCTAGTCTCTGAATGTTCTATATTTGTCTCACTCTTGGAGTCAGATATTATGAAAATATTGTTATTTTAAATATGTACTGGTTCACATATAATAAGTTTATTTGTAAATACTTTTGAAGTAGAGAAGGAAATTGAAGGTGATGCCATGTACCTTTTATTATACGAAAAATATAGGGTGAAAATTGAAAACAGAGTTGGTCTGTGAAGGTGCCATTAAAGAAGAGCTATGTTCATGCCTGTTTTCACTTAAAATAGGCTCAATGACTCACAGTGTTTGTGTCTTACATTTAAATTGAGATTGACTTGAATATACTTAAAAAAGAATTTGGAATCACTGTTACAGATTTCTAGTAAGTCATTTATTATTCTGATGTAAATGATATCAATAACATTTCATGGTTTACTCCAGAAAATGTTCCTGAGAAAAAGTTTAATATTAATAAAGTGATTAACTTATTTTTGCAGTGAGTGGGCTTAGACAGCTATTCTATTATCATATTTGTTGCACTATAGGTACTAATATTTGTGGGAGGTTGTGTTTCAAATTGTTATTAATGATGCTCTTTAATTTATACCAAATTATTCATCTTTGGGCTTGCTGAACGAACCAAGTATTTTTTCTTTTCCTTTTCTTTTCCCCTGGAAAATTCATGTAGAAAAACATCAAAGCAAAATTAAGTTGCCATAAAGTAATAAAACAATCTTTCATGCTGCTTGATCATTGCAGTGAAATCATAGGGGCAAGAAATTGAAGTAGGAGTCTAGACATAGCTTTTATTACCAAGGAAAATGAGCAGAATCCAAGGTTTTTACGTTGTCATGGTCAAAACATAGAGGAGTCCATGGGGAAAATTGTTTTGTAGAATTGCATGACTTTGACGCTTCCACTGAAAAAGAACAGAAAGGAGGGCATTTATGGCTTGCATTTACTGAGTGCTCAGTAAGTAAGCAGTTGATTGATTGGTTAGTTGGTGGAAACTTTATGCAATGATTACACTTTGATTTTTCTAACCTTGTACATACACCTATTTTTTAAAAGTATCAGTATGAGTGTTCGGAAATAAGTCATTATTGTTGGTCTTTACTTTTACACACTTCAAAAACCCACTAAATAATATTTTACAAAATAATGAAGCACTCTGGTTGAGGTTACCAAGGTCATGAAGCATGACAAACTCTAGGACGTGAAGGACTGTATTGTCAGGAAATCAACTCAAGTTATCTATATAAAATTCTCATCGCAGACAGAAGTCAACTCCTGCAACCACCATCCCCTAATCCAGAGAGCATCTCCTAGCTGTATGGAAGAAAGACCCTCTTGGTGTGGGACAGAAGGAGACACCAAATCTACTTCACCTTCTGAGAAAAAATTTTGAAATCAGTTATTATAATTGTTTTTCTAGTCTGTGGTAAGATAACATACTACAAAGCAAATGCCCCTCTAAACATGCCTTCATGCTTGAGGGATTGAACCTTGGTTCAGAATGGGGAGAAAATTTGCAGCCTATTTCCCTTGGAACCAGTAGTTTAACACAGCAGACTCTATTATGGAAGCCATTCCAAAAGGAAACAATAGAATGACTGTTTTTTGCTCTGTTGAATCTTTTCAGAATTGCAACTTCCGGTGAGCCCCTCAGTGTGTCTGGATCAGAGCATACAATTAAAGCTGAGTGCTTCAAGTCACCTTTTAAAAACAGTGAAGTCATATATGTGGAGACCAGGGGACTGGAGACGTGAACAGCTGTAAGATAATCATCTTGAATTGTTATATCAAGCGTGCATTTTAAGAGATACCTAATAAGAGAAAAGCACCAAACACATCTGGGGGTTTTACATGTTTGAATTATTAGGTTCTGTTATATAAATTTTAGGCCATCTCTTCTTAATAAATAATGCCACCATCGATCTTCTGCTACACTAATTCAAATCTCTCTTGCCATAGAATAAACATTTGGGTAAATAGGACTCTTATCCAGGAAGTTACATTAATGGAAATTGAATTTAAAACCTTGGCCATGTGAAACTAAAATTTTAACTTCCATTTTATACTCAAATAGCATGCCTTAGTCTACGAGTATGGCTGAATGATTTTTTTCTGTTATTATTTTTTTATGGCTCTCAGAAAGCAACTGTAGGGTACCAAGTTATTCAAGTTACCTTCAGGGAAAGGATTTTGTCATGTAGATAAATTATAGTGAAAAATTAAGAGATTTTAATTATCTTATCCAACACACAAAATAGTTTGCCCCATGTAATTTTATAATTATTAGGTAGTATTCCACAGTTAATAGTTTTTATTGAAGAATCATTGCATTTCTGCTTACCTAGACTTCAAAAGATGAAACAGCACACTCTTTTCATTGATCAAACTTAGATATTTGAAATATAGAAATATGATGCAGAAAAGAAAATGGTTATACATTTTGGTATCATTTATAATGAAATTATGTTTGTTTTATCACAAAATATTTAACTAGTGTTATTTTTCCTTTTTCCTTTTAGACTGAAGTGTTTCCTAATACTTCATCCCTTAAATTAACCCTTAATTATCTGTGGTGCAGGTTATTAGGTAGAATCAAATTAGTGGGGAAAGTATTTTGGCATATTTTTGGTGACCTGCCTGTCCACTATTGAGAAACAGTATCTTTTCTTGTGGAGGATAAGATAGAGCAAAGGTAGGAGAGGGCAGAACCGGAAAATTTCAGGGGTATCCTAAACTTTTATGTGTATCACTTTTGTTGGGATGGTACCAGATGTGACTAATTTAAATTTTTTAGATCTTTAAGCCTCATTTTAGGTACAATTTTAGACATCGTTTAAGGCAACCCATACACTGAAAGCTGGGGTCCAGTGAAAGAGAGATGGGATGTACAAAGCCCTGAGGCAATTTATAAATTACATACCCCAAATTATGGAGCTTTAATTATATTTTTAACTTTTTAGGAATCAAACCACAGTCCTAGCTCCACAAGAAACACTCTTGAGAGCCAAAGATTTATCCGTAATTCTTAAAGCTTATGTGCTGGTGACATCCTTAACTCCTCTGCGTGCATTCATTCATTCGACTGGCACGGTTTGGAATCCACCAAAGAAAAAACGCTTCACTGTCAAGGTAAAATTTCCATTGTTGCAGTTATTTCCCACAAAGTATGCTGGAGATAAGTAAAGTGAGTTGGGCTGCCTTTCTCCGACCTTTATGACTATCAAATCCTAAGGAGCAAAGATTGTATCGTTTTATTGCTGCAAGCAGAGATTTTCATTTAATAGGTGCAGGTTCAAAAATGAACTGGAAACAGCTTAATTCACTAGGGATCACAAAGGCTACATCTTCTTTTTCTCTCAATTCATCTTTTTAGTTCAGTTCTTTGACCCATTGTGAACTAGTTCTCAGCTGTGGTCTGTTTTTCTTGACTTTCCACTCATTCAAGAAAAATGTAGTCAGTGCAACAAAGGAAAATATAATTTTGCCCTTATGCTTTTTGCTTCATTTTTAGGAAGCATAATGCCTGTTTCATTTCACCATTCAATATGGAATATTTGCTGAGTAAAAAACAACGCTCTCAAGGGTGCCTGACACAGTAGCCATGACATAAAGCATGGTGAGAAAGTTTTCAAGGTAGAACTTAATAATGACCTCCAAAACGTTTAGTTATAAGAGGTAATTCAGGTTAGCTCATTCGAAAATAAGGTCTAGTGAGAATATACTTGATACATTTTAAGGAGTTTCTGATTTTACAGAAATAATTTTTCAGAGTGTAGTTAAGGGGAAATGCACACATGCATTCTATCAGTTTCTTCCCACTTCCTCTTATCTGTTGTCTGAACAATTATTTCTGTAAGATCAAAGATGCCTTCAAAGAACAAATACTACCCGATCCCTCTTATAGAAGGAATCTAAACTAGTCAAACTCACAGAAGCAGAGAATAGAATGGTAGTTACCAGGGGCTGGGGAAAGAGGGAAATAGGGAGGTGTTAGTCTAAGGGTATAAAGTTTCAGCTATGCTAGATGAATAAGTCCTGGAGATCGACTTACAGTATAGCGCCTATAGTTAATAATACTGAGATTTGCTAAGAGGATAGATTTTATGTTCTTATCACTAAATAAATAAATAAATAGGGTGGGTGGAAACTTTTGAAGGGGATAGATACATTTATGACTTGATTGTAGTGATGGTTTCATGGGTGTATACTTATCTCTAAACTCATCAAATTGTATGCATTAAATATGTACATGTTTTTGTATTTTAATCATAAAAAATGGTATTAAAAAAAGAAGGCACAAGTGCCTTTTATGGTTTTGAGAGATTTAAAAGTGACTGTACTTGATACTTTTCAGAATTTTTCTTACATAAACTGCACTTAAAGTTTTGGAAAATCTTCCAACAGTGAAAAATTTTTAAATGGTATGTTTAAAAATTGTCAATTAAAAAACAGATAAGCATGACAAAAGATGCAGATGTTACATTACTTAGTAAAATAGGTAACTGATATTTTAAGGAAATGGTGTTGATGACTTAGGTCTTAAGGGTGGTTTATTTTAAAGACAATCATCTCATCTCAATTATTTCAGTATTAAGTGGTTTTTGATCATGAAAAAGTGGAATCTAATTTGATTTGTCTTTCATGTTATCTCCTACAAGTCTTCACAGTGGCTGTTTATATTTCCCTAAGAACCTTTAATTATTCCCCAGTTGCCCTTTTCTATTAAGTTGAATTATATGCAATTGCTGACAGTTGGCCAGTTTTGACCTACAAAAAATTACAGTTTCATATGATTCAACCAAATAATTAGAACTCAGATATATAGACAAGAATCATAATCCTCCATTCATGTCACATTCATGTATTCGACAAATGTTTGTTGAGCAGAGACCCAAATCCCTGTCCTTGTAGAACTTGCAACATCTGTGTGTGCAAGCCTCCTCTCTTGTTTTATCTGTTTTATTTAATACACTTTATTGCCGTTTCCCACTTAATTATCCTTCCTCTCAAAGGCCGTCATTATAATGACTTAATGTGTGTGTTTTTTGTGCATATTCTTGTAAAATAAGCATTTTTATTTTGTCATGCATGCAAGTATCTTTAGCATATAAGCTGTATTATATTATATATTTTTTCCTTTTTCTTTTACTATATATATATATATATATATATATATATATATATATATGGCCATGCGGCATGTGGGATCTTAGTTCCCCAACCAGGGATCAAACCCATGCCCCCGCCTCTGCAGTGGAAGCGTGGAGTCTTAACAACTGGACCTCCAAGAATGTCCCTCTGACTATTTTTTAAAATGCAGCACTACGTATTTTTAGGAAGAAACCTTCCACATTGCTATGTGTATGTCTTCTGTTACTTTTTCACTGCTTTGCAGTATTAGTGATGTGCTTTCCCTTATAGTTTACCTCCCCACTGCTCCAGTGATAGACATCTGGTTTTGCTCCAGCTCTTGGCTAAAGCACACACTACTTCAAATGCACAAATCCTTGTATCTGACTCTTTATGAACCTGCATATGATTTTCTGAAGAGTATATACCCAGAACTGGGATGGCTGGGGCATAAGATATAGGTTCATTGGATAGAATTAAATAATGCCAGCTCGCCCTCCAAAATGCCTGTATCAATTTCCATACCCCCACATAGGCCAACATTTGACCGTTTCCAGCTGTGACAGGTGAAAAGTGTTATCTTGATCTTGCAAATAGCTCAATTTGTCCTCTCTCTGTTAACTTTATCACAGTGTTATTTTTTGATTAGAAATCTTCAATTCATTAATCAAATTAATTTTTCCATATGCTTCCTCTTTGGGGATTTAGTTTCAGAAATCCTTTCTTATCTCTAAGTCACAAAGGTGTGCTGCTCCATTTTTTTCTATTACCTTTATAATTTTCCCTGGACATGTAAATATTTAATTCAACTAGTGATCACCTCTGATCCAGTTTTTTTCTTTTTACCTAAATATTCCATTCTCACGGGCTAAAAACTTATCATTTCCTATGAATCTGACATCACTTTTGTTGTATAAGTGTCCATATGTATATGGAGCCACCTCTGATGTCTCTGTTCTGTTCCAGTTGGCCCACTCTTTTTTATTATTTTGGCAGTATAAGAATATCTTCATGCCTGACACGGGAGGTGCCTCTTGTCTACTTTTTCTTTTCAAGATTGTTAACTATGTGCTGGGCATTTATTTCCTCATAAACATTTTAGAATATCAATTATACTTTTAAACTCCTACTGGATCCACCTCCTAGAGTAATGGAAATAACAACAAAAATAAACAAATGGGACCTAATGAAACTTAAAAAGTTTTGCAAAGCAAAGGAAACTACAAACAAGACAAAAAGACAACCCTCAGAATGGGAGAAAATATTTGCAAATGAATCAACGGACAAAGGATTAATCTCCAAAATATATGAACAGCTCATGCAGCTCAATGTTAAAAAAAAAAAAAAAAACCAATCAAAAAATGAGCAGGAGACCTAAATAGACATTTCTCCAAAGAAGGCATACAGATGGCCAAGAGACACATGAAAAGCGGCTCAACATCACTAATTATTAGAGAAATGCAAATCAAAACCACAATGAGGTATCACCTCACACCAGTTAGAGTGGGCATCATCAGAAAATCAAGAAATGCTGGAGAGGGTGTGGAGAAAAGGGAGCCCTCTTGCACTGTTGGTGGGAATGTAAATTGATACAGCCACTTTGGAGAACAGTATGGAGGTTCCTTAAAAAACTAAACATAGAATTACCATACGATCCAGCAATCCTACTATCAGGCATATACCCAGAGAAAACCATAATTCAAAAAGACACATGCGGGCCTCCCTGGTGGCGCAGTGGTTGAGAGTCCGCCTGCCGATGCAGGGGATACGGGTTCGTGCCCCGGTCCGGGAGGATCCCACGTGCCGCGCAGCGGCTGGGCCCGTGAGCCATGGCCGCTGAGCTTGCGCGTCCGGCAACGGGAAAGGCTACGACAGTGAGAGGCCCACATATGGCAAAAAAAAAAAAAGAAAAAAAAAAAAAAAGACACATGCACCCCAATGTTCATTGCAGCACTATTTACAATAGCCAGGTCATGGAAGCAACCTAAATGCCCATCAACAGATGGATGGATAAAGAAGATGTGATACATATATGCAATGGAATATTACTCAGCCATAAAAAGGAACGAAATTGGGTCATCTGTAGAGACGTGGATGGAGCTAGAGACTGTCATACAGAGTGAACTAAGTCATAAAGAGAAAAACAAATATTGTATATTAAAGCATATATGTGGAACCTAGAAAAATGGTACAGATGAACTGGTTTGCAGGGCAGAAATAGAGACACAGATGTAGAGAACAAATGTATGCACACCAAGGGGGGAAAGTGGCGGGGGTGGTGGTGTTGGTGGAATGAATTGGGAGATTGGGATTGCTACATATACACTAATATGTATAAAATAGATAACTAATAAGAACTTGCTGTTTAAAAAAATAAATAAAATTCAAAAATTCAAAAAAAAAATCCTACTGGAATTTCAATATAATAACATTGAATTTTTAGCTTAATTTTTGAAGAGTGGATTATTCATAATATTAAGTCTCTCCATTTATTCAGGTCATTCTATTTTTCCTTTATTAGAGTTTAATTTTTATTCCTCCACAGAGATCTTATATGGTTTTGCTTAAGTTTATTTCAAGATTCCCAGGAGTATTTTTTGATATTGTTATTTATTTATTTATTATCTATTTATTTTTTAACATCTTTATTGGAGTATAATTGCTTTACAATGGTGTGTTAGTTTCTGCTGTGTGACAAAGTGAATCAGCTATACATATACATATATCCCCATATCCCCTCCCTCTTGTGTCTCCCTCCCAACCTCCCTAACCCACCCCTCTAGGTGGTCACATAGCACCGAGCTGATCTCCCTGTGCTATGCGGCTGCTTCCCACTAGCTATCTATTTTACATTTGCTAGTGTATATATGGCACTGCTACTCTCTCACTTCGTCCCAGCTTACCCTTCCCCTTCCCCATGTCCTCAAGTCCATTCTCTACCTCTGTGTCTTTATTCCTGTCCTCCCCCTAGGTTCATCAGAACCATTTTCTTTTTTAGA